ATGTAGGATGTTCACCTTTTGTCTTTGGCTGCTTGACAAGGGTCACTTCCAAAGGACAGGATGATTCAACAGCAGCGGGTAAATCATGTTTCAAGGGACAGCCTTCAGTTTGTGAACAAGATTATTACTTCCTGTCATGAGCTGGCTCAAGAAAATGGAGTGGGATGTAGCTGTCAGAAGGAGCATGGGCTGTGCGCCAGTCTTGGTTTGGGTTTTGCTATTGTAAGGAATGTCTTGGTACTTCTACTGTCAGCCCAGACTCCACATGTTTTTCTCGGGCCTGATGGGAGTGGGCGTTGGATGGGAGAGGAGGTTTTGGAAGATGTTCTTGCTTGTATTTGGGGTTGGGTATGTGATGTTCTGGTGCTGGAGAAAGGGTTTCCTGTGCTGGCCAGATGCAATATGAAAACAGTACCAGGAATGGTCAGTGCAGGGAGAGGCATCTTTCCTGCCAGCCCCCTGTCTGTTATTCCCATCCTAAAACATGAGGTAAAAAAGCAATGCTAGGCCAGAGCCCCAAACTGCTTCAAACTGAGGAAGAGAAGAGGGGAGACCTGCCCTTCCAGAGCAGCTGGGTCAGCAGGGTGTCTTGCAGTCTTCTGAGAAGCAGTGTACCTGGGACAGCCTTGCACCTCATATTTCCATGGGAAAGGAACTTTAGAGCCATGTAATGAACAGGAGAAAGAATGGAAGGGGAATGTCACAGCACCAACCAAGTTAATTGTCTTGCTCATGTGTCTTCATAGGATGGGGAACCTCAAGAACGCACCTCTTCTTCTCTGGTCCTCGGCTTGCGTGGCCTCTGCTGCTCCTCTCTGCTGAAGGCTGAATAGCAAGGGCAGAACTGCTTCTGAAGTGAGAGTGACTATCCATCAGGCTGAGACCACCTTAGTCATTTCACTTGCGACTTAAGCCACTTCTGCCTCTTGGCTTGCAGGTGTGAAAAGGATGCAGGCCACTAGCCTCCTGTACAGTTTGGCTTCCATTAAGAGCCTTGTCTACCCTGAAGAGTCTAGATTGCAAGTGGATCTAGAAAACTCTTACATAAATTTGCTAATATGGTGTCATATGCCTAGGCTGGGCTAGCAGTCTGGAAGAGGACCCTTGATGTGTCAGTTTTCTGTCTCAGCATCCAAAGGCTGGCATGCCAATGAGTAGTACCTCCAAAGGAAAGGGTGCTTTAGTGAAGAAGTGTCTACATGTGGTAACCGGCTGGTGTTAAAAGGCACTGAGTTTTTGAACTGATCCATTGTGACCCACTAGGAAAATAGCCCTTTAACAGGATTGTTAGCCCAAATCTGTGCTAGAGCTCTTGCTGTACTGATAAGGGGACTTTTGTGGAGTTGTTCACTATCTTTCTGGTAGGTAGTTTTAAATCAAGAGAAAATGACATTGTGGAGTAGATGCTCTGTCTTTGCAATAGCAGGGAGTTGTGTGTGGTGCTTGACAAAGAGTGATAGTGGATTATGAAACCCGGCATCCCTGTTTCATTCTCACCCGATATCCCTTTGTGTCACTGTGGACTCATTTGAAGGTTTTGACATTGATGTTTATTTTCATTAATCTTGCACTTAATGAAACCTTGTTTGTTAGTTGGAAAATATGTGCTCGGAAGTTGCTTGTTACAGTGAGCGAAAAAGAAAAATCCTTTCCTTTTATGGAAGAAAGTACCAAAGCTTCCCAATTGGCATGGAAGCGCAGAATATCCCAAAGTACGGTTGTGCATCAGAACCCTTCTGTCCTTTCAAATGCGGCTGGTTTTATTTTTAAGGGATTGTTCCTGTGGACAAGGATGTGGCATTTTATAAGTGCCAGTGAGTAAGTATTAGATGCTGCTCTAGAACTTGTGCTGTTGGCTGTCAAATTTGTCAGCAAGGTGCTTGGAATTTGATTTTGAGACTGCATTTGAAATGTTTCTGTTCTCATCCCATTACATTGGTCCCATTGTACTGAGCTAAGGAAATTCCAGAACTGGTGTATAAATTTCAGACACTGTCTCTTCCTAGGTTTGGAGGCTCTCTTCTCAGTTTAAAGGGGGGAAAAAAAAGTTTTCCAGCCATTCTGCACTGTATACATCTGTTTAATTCTATGCAGATTAAACAGAATCTTTATTTCACTTTGATTCTTTCATAAATTGAAGGATATGCCTCGGCTTCCTTCAGCTACCAGAGCAAGTGTGTAACTCCCAGTCTACCTAACCAGGGTGATAGTATACCCCGCGCCCCACAAAGCTGGAGAACAACAATGGAGTAGAGTGATACATTTTTGATGCAGTGGAACTGAGGGATTCTCCTGTCTCCTCACTCACATCCCCAACCCTTAAGCATAGGATTTTCTCTTGGCCTTTGCAAAGCTGAAATTTCTCCAGAGGCTGACTTTCCACCAGGACTGGCCTTGCGAATGTTGGACTTGTTCGTCTCTATTTTATCACTTATTATATGGGGAGCAGGCAGGCTATAAGCAGGAGCAGGGAGAGCTGCCTCCTTTGCTCTGTGCTTTCAGCCCAGTTGTTCCTACTGTGTAGTAACAAAAAATATATATAGTTCAGAAGGCAGAAATCTCCCCCCTGCCTTGTAGTCTATCAGAATTATTTGTTCTTCTCTGTCTCAAAGACCACGTAGTCTAAATCCAGCATTTATGGACCCTGCCTGCACAATGTGTGTGGCAGAGGGACCAGGCAAGAAGAAATCAATGAGGCATGTTTTTTTTCTCTCCTGCTATTCGTGTGATGCATAGTCCTTTGCCAGTGTTTGCTAGGCACAGTGTTATTTGCAAGCAAGTGAATTGTGAAATTGGTGATATTGTTGTCACCGTCTCCATCAGGTGTCAGTGTTGAAGTCTTGGGTACTGCAGCACCAGCAAAAAGTTGCTACCGGGAGAGCCCAACACCAATTTTGTCTTAAAGAACAACCCCGGGCTCAGTTTGGTGGCAACGCTCGCCTGGGTTTATTGTCTGCAAGGCATGGCCCTAACACACTTGTGATGTGACAGACAAGGTGGTAATGCATGTACGCCCATGACAAAGTATTGGCAAAACACCACACAGGCTCCCTTAATACAATGTTCCCATAATTTCCAATTCTCCTTTTATACAGTGGTCCAAACAAATTACGTATTATACTCTACCTGTATTTTGAGTATCTTAAGCTATCCTGTACCGTGGGCTTATTCCACATCCTGAACTGGGTGTTCCCATTCCAACCTCAGCATCCCGGTCTATCCTACACTTCATACAGCCATCTCCCCCTCCCATCTGCTGGCAGGAGTGCACATGTGGCTCACATGCCAAGTTTTTTAATGTAAGGAGTTCAGGCAGACTTGCTAGTCAGGCTTACTCTGGCAATTACCTTTGTGTGAGCAGTATATATTCATCAATGTTCCAGCGAGGCCTGCAGATGACAAGCGTCTTGGAGACAAATATCCCTTCCCCAAACTAGAACACCACCCCACTCCCCTGCAGACTGTCTGCCCCCTGCCAGCCCTGTCCCCAGAGGCAGAAAGAGTCCATTTCATGGCCCGCTCTGTCCTGGTTGTTAATACGGGGTGTAACTTAGTGCCAGTCGTGAATGCATCATAGCTACATGTGAAAGAAAGGAAATGAGAAAAAGATATCACTAGCCCTGAATGAGCGGCTCCACTTCAAGAATCACTAAAGGATAGGTACAGAGCTTTTGAGTGATACCTTCTCTTATTCTGTAATAACCATCCTAGGTAGAGGTTTCTGTCAAATGGATGCTATCCCTACAAGGTAGGCAGGCGTCCTTGGGATTGTCTGTCTTCAAGAAAACCAGCTCAGCTGCTAAGAGCAATGATCCCACCTAGGGACTCAGAAAAGGGACACAGAATAAAGTCTCTCCTTCACAGTCCGAGATGGAGAAGGCATTCGCCACATGGCCTTAGCCAAAAAGATGCAACTCTGTTCCCTGCTTCTGCAAAAAAAGGCTGCTCCGCAATCTCTAAGCAGTGTGCACAAAGTGCAAGGCTGTTGTTACCAGGAAGTCTTTGTGAGGGACTGGTGATGCCTTGTGTCCATAATCTGAGTTGGCCAGGCTGAGTGTTCAAGCAGATTGTGGCTTTGGGCTAGGTGCAGCAGTGCTGGAGAAGGGCAAAGTGCACTGAATTGATCCCATGAGAGGGTGTTGCAACAGGTGTCCAAAATAAAGGCTGAGGTTTTCATTCTCCCTTCCTTCTAGGGCTGCTTGAGTGGCTCTGGTCCAGTGCCTGCTGTGGCTCCAGTGCATAGCTGCTCCCTGTATAGTTGCAGTTCGTCTTAAACCAGGAGCCAAGCTAAAGCCAGAGACATTGCTTTATATTAGACACCGATGGTATGTCCAGTGCATTAGGCAGATCAGAAGCCAAGGTCCCTGTACTGAAGACCTTGCTGTGTAACTGGGCAATGTTGAAAACATGAAGGGATGAGGCAATAGGCCTGATCTTGGGTTCTTTTGTCTGATATACAGTGCGGTTCACTGGTGCAGTTGCATTGCCCTGGTATGGCATTGGTGGGGGGTTTGTTAGGTCATAGTTTTGCATGTGGGTGCCTCAGCTGGAATCTCTAAATCTGAACTGGTGTTTTAGAAGCCTAGGTTAGTGTCCTGCAGGCTTCTTTGAAAACCTAAGCTGACAGTCACATCAAGAAAGGGCCCGGCTTTAAGAG